TGCATCTTAGTTTGAAATGCAGGTGGTTTCTGTAGACCTGGAAATTCTCTCATACTCCTGCACCAGATAAAGGATGTCTATCAGATTAGTAACATACAGTACCTGTTAATATTCTCAGCCATCCAGGTCATAGTCAAGCTTGAAAAATTTAAGTTTAGGTAACTGGACATTAAGTTTTCAAGAAGACGTGACACGTATTAGCTTAATTCAAGATAAATGAAATGATTTAACAGGTCGGCAGCACTTGGTATGTATCACTGCCCTGTGCAGACTGCCCTCTTCAAAACCTACCTATGCAGCTTGAGAGATTTGTATCTATCGCTTAATGAGTCATATGACCCAGAGGTCCACTTTATAGGAGTCTGAGCCCCCTTAAACATGAGAGCTAATTAAGGTAACAGTTGATAGACAATACAACAGATAAGAACCTAATTTGACATAATTTTGGTTCTTGTATTAGTTTGTGCATCCTTAGTTTGAATTGTTCACTTGAATTGTATTTTATTGTAGCCAAACCAAACAGCAGGAATGAAAAAAAGAAATAAATAAAAACAACCTGTAATGTGTTGTACATAATCTATGTTTGCACTAAACATGTGCCGTCAGTTTCAAGTGACAACTTACAAGACTTTGTATTTTTCTACTGTGGCAGAACGTTATTTCTTCTGAGGTCTATAAATTACAGAGAGGAGTTTCTCTACTTGTACATGCAGTCATGGAGCCTTTTCTTAGCATTTTTCTTGACAGGTAAATTGGTCCCACTGCAACTTTGCCTCTTATCAAAGTCAGAACCGCACTATGTGATAAGAGTTGCTTAAATCTCACCTTTGAAAGTAATAATGGTTTCTGTATGAACTTAATTCGGCTGTACGTTAAAACCCTCAAATATAGTTCTTCTTCATGTAATGGACTTTATGTAACACTGTAATCTTAAATTATATATGTTTCAAATAAATCTGAATATACAGTGTAGTGAATGATGAAAAGAATAAACTAATGAAGGTGTTATGTGTGAAGAGAATGCTCTGTCAATCATTTATTTTTCAAGCTTGCTGTGTAACCTTAAAAAATCTCAGAACATTATTTGATGGCTTAATTTACAGAAGAAATCCCTGCGTATTTTTCAAAAAGCTGTCGGTGTCATTGCTGCCGGCTAGAGGGCAGTTATTAAGTAAACTCATTGACATCTATTATACTGTCTCTAATGTTCCACTCTCAAAGAGTACCACTGAAAAGATTTTGCAGAAACATTTTTTTATCATTATGTCTAGTCATGTTAGCTCTAAATTAGGGCCATGATTTCAAAAGAAAAGAAAATTCCCCATTAGCAGAGGATCATACTGAGTGTGAAGCAGTGCAGTTTATCTGCACATGTGTGGCTATTTTTGTGAACAGAGTAATTGGTTTATTTGGTCATTATCTACTCTCTACACAGTGCAATAACAGCCAGAGGCTAGCTGAGGGAGGTGGGGGCTGTGTGGAGTCAGAACAAATCAAAGCACCTGTCTCAAGGCCAGTGTTACACATGACCTTGTGTCATTCAAAGAGATGAGGCTAATAACACAGTTAGGAAATACAGGCTCGCTTCATCGTGTGTCAGTGAGAACAATGCGGCTGCTCAATCTGAACACTGAACAGATACTTCCTCTGCCAAAAAAAAGCAAAGAAATCAAAACGATAGGACAGTGTTAATCAGAACTTGGCTGTGAAATATTTCTAAGACTTGTTTAATTATTCACTTCTCCTTGGCACAAGAAACGTAATCTGCTGACGAGAATAAAACAAAAACAAAGCCGCAGAGTATATGTCAAAACATCCTGTCAATACACCTCTGTACCTCAGGATTTACTGAGAATTACCAAAACAGAAGGATATAATTAGAAAAAAACTAATTCTTGTTTATGAGGTGAATTCAGACTAAAGTTTTACTTAATTCTCTTTTCCTACTGTATTTAAAATTCCTATAAAGCAGTCTTATTAAATAAACATAGCTGGTCAAACAGGGATCTGTAGTTTAACCTGTCTTTTTACTGCTGGGTAATACTGCAAAACGACTAAAAACAAATAATTGTTTGTCTCTCAATACTTTTTGGCCTCTGCTCTGCTTAGGTCTGGAGTTGTGCTCTAATGCTTTCAAATAGCCCTATTCATAAGCAACAATTTTTTGAACCATCAACCTAAGAATGATTTTCTAATTTACTTTTATTTTTTTCCGTAACTGAGGAACTCAATTTTATAGTTGCCTTTTATTTATATTGTTAGGGAAGACACATTTTGAGCACATATTTTCAATTCTCCCTTTAAAAAGAGACTCAGCAGGTTATACAGTAGGAGTCAGTGTAAGTATTTTGATGTGACGTGATGAGCCTCTTAAATAAATCTACGTCTATGTTTCTGTTTGAGATGTTAAGTTTATCCTATATTACAAAACCTATTTCATATATATGTCAAAAAGAACAGTATATACATGTTTTATCTTTAATTGAGGGGGTATTTTATTTGTTGGAATATTTAAAATTAGAATTTCTCATTTTGCTTTTAAAGGGGGTGCAATAACATTTCTTAACAGTCTTTGCTGTGTATCTGACTTTAAGGCTTATTTTTATTAAAATAAAAATGTAATGATTTTTTTCTCAGAGAAAGATCAAACAGGTGTTAATGAACTAGTTGTATGAAACCGCCTACTTCATGTCTTTTCACAGACTTTATCTGAGAAAAAGGCTGTGAATCAGAATTAATTCCTATAACTTTGGTTTGGTTTTGAAATCAGCTCAGAATTTTCAGTTGTAAACTACACAAAGACATTTATTAAGTTATAAACTGTGTCCTAAACCTGTGTCTAGCCACCCTATGACGAAACAATGATCAGTTAGCTTCTGTTTGATAATAGCTTCAACGGTTTTTGAGGAACAGATTAAAATTGCTCTAATTCCTTTTTGAAAAATAGCTAAACCCCAGTAAGATTATATCCTGGTAACATTTCCTTTAACTCTTGAAAATCTGCATCAAGAATCTGCACTTTTACCAGGGCAGTCTACAGTTACATCAATGTAGGCTTTGATTTGGCGCATTGTAGCTCTGGTTGCAAGTTTAGGGCCGTCTCTCTGGTGGAAAGTAAACTTCTATCCCAATGTTTTTTTTTTTTTTTTTTTGATATATCTGCATTTGTGCATTTCTATCAACTCTGACCATCTTTCTTGTACTTGTTAAAGAAAAGTGTTTCACTCGAAGGACTGTTTTTTTTTAAGTTGGTGAACATGCTGTACCTAGTTTTCTCCCCTGGATAGCATTTTAAATGCAGATACTAAATTTCAGGTTCATTCAGTGTGTATAGGCGAGCAGAGTGTTTATAAGGCTGATGATGAACTAAAAACAGCATCCAAACCTGCTACCATTGTCACCCACTTTTCCCTAAGTGCTGATTCAGAAGCATGTTTCCTGTGATCTCATTTTTCTGCTGCCAAGCTTAAAAAAAGAAAAGAAGAAGCCTGATGACTAATGATGTTGGTTTTTCTTTACATTTTTAGTCCCTAATCCCCAATTCACATTAAACGCAGTCTTTGATCTACGTTTAAAATCAGCTTTCACAAAATGAATGATGAGCAGAAGATTTTATGTGCAAGCATTGTTTAAGTTTTAATTATTCTGATTTTGATCGGTTATAATAGCAAGGTTTCTAAAGTCAGAGTATGGTTGAACTTTTATATTTCAGCTGGCTACATTATAAGTTAACTAAGTGGGCAAAATACCTTTTTTTTAATGAGATCTTTAGACAATTTGTTCTAATTTAGAATTATGTTTTAGAAAAAACTGCATTTGGTCGTAAAATTGATAAAACTGGTTCATACTATCACATTTTTACAAGAGCCTGATCTGATGTTAAGGCAGCTCTCCAGTGAGCCGTGTTCTCCCTCTATTTTCTTCAGAGGACGATGATATTTTATTTACACTTATATCTGTGAATGTGAGAAATAACACTGCTCCTTATTTATAAACAGGTGTTGCACACAGTTTTTTATGTGGAAAAATGAATAAAAAAATAAAAAGGAACCTGTAAACCTTAAAACTCCCCTTATGTATTATTTTATATTATAAAGAAAGCCCAGTCCAAAGCCTGGAAACTGCAGACAGAAAGTTTTCTCCATGGTACATTCAACATTTTGATCTATTTTTACCATTGCGTGAAAAGAAATTTCATAGAAGCCACAGTAACAGAAATGGCCTGAGAGTCCAAATCTGTCCATCATCTAACATGTTACCATTTAGCTGTGGAGACTCTACGCAGTCTTATATACGTTCCATCTGAGCCTTGGAAAGCAACATAGCCTCTGTCCCTTGTCTGTCAATTGTAAGCTTCAATGGTAACTAATTGCCACAGTTCTTACTTTTCTGATCAACACAGGGCATTCTGTCTTGTTCCCAATCATACAACAAGAATTAAAATGAGCCAATTAGTGTGTGTGAAGCTAACCTAGTCTTTGATTGAGATTCTGCAGCACAGCAGTACAATAAGAAGTGGAGCTGCCCTGTGGGCCTTAGGGACCAATAACAATGAGCGTCATGCTGTGGGTTCATTTATACTTGTGTTAGTGAGTGTATTGGTTAGAATTATTTTACGTTCATCCCAAGTCTATTGTTTTTAAGTCTCAACTTTTGTTTGTTGCACATAAAAACCTATGGATATACTTTTAGAAAATAAAAGGTTTAGTTTGCATTTGATTTTAAACCATGGGGTTCTGGGAAAAATGTATTCATGTGTTTTATTTTATAAATAAATAACAAAAAGGTGAGTTTCTCTTAAATTTGAGTATTTTAAACTGTCTTTGCCATTAGATAACATTCTCTAGTGTACTGTGATGCAAATTTCCATTTGATACACAAATTCCTTTCATAAGATATAAGCGCTGTAAAACGCAAAATCATCAGTACTTTAGCTAAAAAATAGAAAATGTTTCTTTTTAGCTATTTTTTCTAACGTTGCATTGCTTTTTGACTTTCAGTTGCTGCAAGGAAAGACGATCCCTAAACTTGGCTCTCTGGACCAGATTGAAGCAGGAAGTGGGGATTCAGAAGGGCGTTACAGCGGTGACTGTGATGATGAGGATGGGTGTGCAGGTTCAGGTGGGAGTGAGATTACCAGGAAAGTCTCCAAACGTAAGTCACATTTTATAATAACATTGACTAAACCTTTAACTGACATATTTGTCTTGAGATAAAACATACAAATAATTAACAATTTTGCAAACTCACCTTAAAGTTTTATTGCACAGAAAATGGTATTAATTGAATAACTAAATTAAAATTGTAAAAAAAAAAAAAATCCTACCACATTCTTTTCCAAGGTATTACAAAGAAGTGGTTTCTTTATGAGTAAAGAAAGCAAAGATAGTTACATGTTTTTTTTTTCCAAAGGACTGGTTCCAGTCTCATTTTATGACAGCAGTAATAATAGTCATTAAAGATGATAGTTGCTATGGGGACATTATTGCAATCAAGGCCTGTAACTTGAAAAATTATTGCTCCTCAGCGGTTCAGCAACCTTCGATGAATCACAGCAGCAGAGCTCCTCTCTCCATTTTGTTACCTTTTGCACTTTTCTTTTAGCACTTATAGATTTTCCCTCTCCTCGCTCCTCTACTCTCCATCAGACACGCTAACAACCTGATTAATTACCTCTCTCACTTTGCCTATGGCGACTCCAAGGAAGCTGGGGTCATCCAAACACACCATTCTATCCATGAAAATGTTTCCTCTGCTGCTTGTCAGCCTCACTCGAGGCTTCAGCCGCTTAGGTTCAGGAAAGCTGCTTAACGATCACTCATCTGAAGCTGTCGGGAGGCTCTGACATTTATCACCCATTACAGCTGAGCCGCCCTTTCCTTGTCATAGGCCAGATCAGCCTGCCTCCTATATTTATATCCCGCTGTCTGCTGTGACCTCTGTTGAACATCAGTCCCCTGGTGCCTGACCCTCAAAACAACACACGGTTTCCTCCAGCAAGGGACTTCTTCTTAGTCCCTATGGGACTGAATGGCAACTTCTACAGCAGGCATACATTTAGGCTAAATATTTTTTACAGTTTGCAACGCGCCTTTTTAAATAATTTTTTTAAATCTGGGAACTGGAAGTTATGATGTTAAGACATTTTCTGCTAAAACAAATATGTTCTCCTGGTTCTTTAGTAAGTGTTCATTCCACAATATACCAATGATGACAAAATAAAATGGCAAACTGGTTGACCAATGTGTCGAGCACTAATAAGATTATCGAAAAATTTCTTTAACCATTTTTATTGTAATTTTTCTTGGGAAAATTACAATTTTGATAATTTTTTATTTGTTGTCATATATTCTTTCTAAATTCTCTTGTGCTATATTTGACACATTTCCAACATAAAAAAAAAAAATTAACTGTTGTTAAAATGATCTGAAGATGCCACGAGTTAAGTTACTGTTACAACAGTGACAGCTATTACTATAGAGCTCAAAGCCGGTGGAAGGCGCACACTCCTCCAAATTGTGCACAATGACTGCATGCTGGGAAACGTAGCAAGTTTTCAGGCAGGGGTTCAACTGTCAAAGAGAAATTAGGGTATTGCTTTTATTAATCTAGTAAATATTGATGATAATTGTTTTTATTTCTGTTAAAATACTCTGTCCAGGGTGTACCCCAGTTCCGACACAAAGACCACTGAAACAAGGGGATGAAGGGTTAGTTTAAGATGTTCTTTAAATAAGTGGTCCTCCTAACTGTCAATCATTTTGGTGATATGTTTACGTACGGCCGTCCAATTTCTCGTCCCTCTCTGTCTGACATAGTGGAAAAAATTGTGGACATAGTGGAAAAAATTGCAAATCTTATTTTGGAAAGTAAGCTTGTATAAGCGATGCAAACAGCAACTTTTAAACAGAGCGTGCATGAGGAGAAATGGGCTCCTGCATGCGCTCACACGCGTTAAGTAGGCAATCCCTCTCAGGAGCAGGTACAGGGTTGTGCATGTGTATTTCTTTTTAAAGTGAAGAGGGCGGGTCTTTTCAAAAATTCACGAAAATCCCCCATTATACCTGTAATATTTTATTTTACAATCATACATTTTGAAGTAATTACATTCATTCATGCCATTTTCAGTGACTTAATCCCACAAGTGAAACACATTACATAAATTAATCATGCACTGACACTTTCAAGCCTTTATTACTTTTAATTATGAGGAGTTCTCTGCCCACAGCTTTTAATGAAAACACAACATTTAAAAGCAGGGTATTACAGATGACAAAATCACTTTTGATAGAGAAATGCAGGCTGAATAAAAAGCATGTTTGACACCTGCTAAAAGTTATTTTCAAAAGGTGCTTCGTTTGACAAACGAGCATCATCAGAATGCATATTCAAATTTACTAAATTAATGTACATATCATAGAAGCTTAATCAAATTTCAGATTCGTGTAATTAACTGTAGTAATTGCCTGTGTTTTACACACATTTATTTCATGCGTTGAAATATTGAATGTCAGTTACATGACTTTGAATTCCATTGTTAGCAAAGCTTCTTTAGAAACAGAGCTCATTAATTGGCTACCTTGGGGTTAAAATACTCTGGTGAGATACAGTTTCAATGACTGCTGGTAGTATTTTTTTTTTAGTGGACGTGCAGCAACTTCAAAACAGGACACCTCAGAGACCAAAATACAGAGGGAAAAAAAGGCACAAATAAGAAAAGTGAAATGCATTTTGAACCACAACCTCTATAATATTTCAACCAACAAACTGAAATATTAAAAGGCAAATCACGAAACTAGCTACAAATAATAAACTAACAAAGGCATTCTGCAAAGATAAGGAATGCACTAGATATATTTTGTGTTGGTTTTCAAAAATGGGTTTGAAAACAGTTTTGACAATATTTATACAGTAAAAACTTTAAAAAAAAATAAAGATTCTGTTATAAAATGCAGATATGCAGTATCCAGCCTTTGTTTCATCATTAGTATTCAAGTGAGTTAAAGTGTATTATCTACTGTGATAGATCCAGTTTATCATCAGATTCAGAGCCTAAAGACCATGTATAATTTAATTGGATTTCTTTGTCTGCAGTGATTCATAATATCTCTCTGCTTTGTGGCTTTGATATATATCTGCAGAACATGCAGAGCATTGATTCGGTGATAAAGAAATGAATTGAAATAGCTCAATACTGACACTTCAAGCTAGATTTTTAAGGATTTTCCTCATTAGGTAAAACCATTGTATAGAAACATCATGTATTTGTGAGATCAAATGTAGCAAAATGAGCCGTGTGTGTTTCTGTAATTATCATGGAAACCTAAATGTTTACTTAAAGCAAATCAACTTTAATGTGCTGTTCTTCCATTCCCTGCGTTTCGCTTCAGATTGGTGAATGGTCAGTGGAATAATTCATTATTTTCTGAGAAGCTCAGACTCAAACTATTGAATGCACAGTGAGAAAACAGAAGATTGATTCACTTCATCAGGCTCATTACGGAGGAGCACTGACTCCTCACAGCTCATTGAGCGACACTGACATAGAAAACTCACAGAAAATCAATTAGCACAGATCTAAATTCATAGCATAAGAAGGTTTTCTCAAGACAGACATACTAGTTGAAATAAACATTTACCGCTAATGGTCACAATCTTTTTCAATATATCTATAAAATGTTTAATAAGACCAATTTCTATTAGATAGTGACTTAATGAAAAACAAATACATTTTTGCTGCTGAAATGAAACATAATTGTTCACAACTCTTAATATTTATTACTAACAGAGGAACTTTTATTCTTTTTGTCTTCCAAATTATACTTACTGTATTTTTATATAATATTTAGTGGTCATTGTTTGTTGAATATGTGATCTTTGCAGTTTAGACTGTGTGCCAATTAATTCTGAATAAGACTTTCTAAGCTGAAATAATGAGACATTTCATTGTTAGATAACTCTATATTTAAGCTCAATAGAATAGTTAATATCTTACTCTCTGTAACAGCAGTAAATGCAGCTGTCCGGTCTTAACTTGTAAAAATTGCAATACAAGATTATAGTCTCTGTTTTGGCTCTATGTAGCTTCACTTTGAATAACATTCAAAGGTTAAGATTAAGATTAAGACTGACCAAGATAACTTTTTACTGTAAATTGTATTTATTTATTTTTATTTTTTTGGGTTATTCCCTAAATAAAACTTTTGAAAACAATTAAACCAGAATCTGAAATGTTGAACTGATGCATCCAATCCTAAGAACAGGGAGATCCAACCTTTGTTTCTTAGGAAATAATGTGACAGCATATCGAGTATTAACCCAGATAAAAGAAATAAGGTCAAGTTACTACTTAGTGAGAACACCGCCACCTATACCATTTCAGATGTAAATATTAAAACAAGTGTTTATCAATATTAAATAAATACTGTTATATTTTATGTTATGCAAATACAAGAATTTATAAAATTACTCAGTAAAAGAATCGAACATCGAACCAAAAAAAAACTAAAGGCGGAGAGGCTTCTTAGCAGGCTGTAGCTGCCTGCAATTAGGGAAAAAATATGAGGTTTAGCATTTGTTTATCAGGCATAAACAGTCATCTTTGTACTGATCAAACTGAAACAAACCTGTCTGATTAGAGCATAATAAAATCGACAATAACAAAAAACGTCAGACGGTGCAATGAGCTGCACTGCAAACAGGTGGGTCATTAGGGTGGCAGGGCTGTCACAAACCTGTTGGGTTATTTCTCTATGCTGCAGCGGTCTTTTTTGGACTGCATAAGGAGATTTGCTTAGCTTTTTTTTGAAAGGAAACTGACATTTTATTGAAGATATTCATCCAAAGACAATTCTTACATTTATTAATGACTTTAATCTTGAACTGATTGGATTTTGATTGTTTTCTGGAGGATTTGGGCTTCAAGTATAGATCGTGTGGTGGAACAGCTGATTTTGTTCGTTTATTAAATACAGCTGGCTTGCACAAGTAATCCAGCAGGCTGAGGTATTCATGATAGCTCTCATAAAGAGATACCATAGGATCCAATGTGAATTTTGGAAAGAATGTTTGTCTTTGCTCCTCATCCCTTTTTATTTATTTCATTTAGAATGGAAATGAAAAATGAATAACTGCCCTCCATTTTCTATACTTTT